GGGCGAGCAGTCTGGCAGGCAGGCAGGCAGGTGAGTGATTTAGGAGCCAGCAGTCCCGGATTGTGAGAGGGATATCCGATTGCCAGTTTAGGCCCGATCCCTGTAAATCGGCAGTAGGACATCCTTCGAGGTGAGGGGTCCCAGATTGGAGAGAGTGCAGTCCAGGGCTGAGGGCACTGGGCCCCTAGTATCCTATATAATAAAAGAGAAACATATAAATTGACCGTCCCTTTGCTATGCTCAACAGCCAATCAGGGTGAATATGCAAATTATTCTGACAAAGATGGTGGTTAATTTGCATACACAGGTGCTGGGCAGAGGGCAGAAGTGGGAGAGCCAGCAGCTTGGGGGGACGTGGCGCCCTCGGTTGCTCCAGTGTGGGGACATGGCTCCCGTGGTTGCTGGGCAGAGAGCAGAGCAGGAGAGCTGGAGGCTTGGGGGGCTGTGGCTCCCTTGGTCACTCCCAGAGCAGGGAGCACTAGGAATTCTGGGAATAGTTCTGATGGCAGCCCCAGGACCAGAAGCCCAGAGCACGGGGAGCACCAGGAATGCTGGGAATCATGGTTCTGGTGGCAGACAGATCTCCTAGACACTAGAGCAGGGGTGGGCAAACTTTTTGACTCGAGGGCCACAATGGGTTCTTAAACTGGACCAGAGGGCCGGAACAAAAGCATGGATGGAGTGTTTGTGTGAACTAATATAAATTCAAAGTCAACATCATTACATAAAAGGGTACGGTCTTTTTTTTTTAGTTTTATTCATTTCAAACGGGCCGGATCCAGCTTGCGGGCTGTAGTTTGCCCACGGCTGCACTAGAGCAAAGTGAGCCTGGAGCAAGTTACTGTTGCAGTAGGGGATGGAGGGAAAGCAAAGGTGAAGACATAAGTAAAGTCAGATTGTCTAGGAAAAATTAAAGGGAAGATATCTTAAAACTTCCAGGAAATCTCCACCAATGAAGCAAAGAAAAAAAATGCCTCTGTTATTCTGTGAGCAACAAACCAAACTGGTTGGAGGTCTCAGACAATTCATTCATATGATTGCAAAGACAGACAGAAAACTCCCTGAATTGGAGAGGGCTCCCCCTGAAGGGCTCCCAAGATTTGGAAGAGGGGTGCAGGTTCGGGCTTGAGGCAGTGGGCCAGCGAAACCGAAGGGTCAAGGAGCCCACATACAGCTCTTTTGGCCCCTTGAGGTGGGCTCTTCCCACAAAAA